AATCTCCTTGATTTTCAAGCGGGGATTCGTTCTCGTAGGTTCCAATCGGAGACCTCGTGCCGAGGCCTGATAGCTACACACGATCAATTAGTATAAAAGCTAATTGTAGCAAAAAAGCATTTGATATTTCCGTTGTTTAACGGAACCTATGTTCTCTTTACTGTAAATTGTAAATAATTTCATAGCTATTCATATGATCTTATATTCAATTTGAAAAATACCAAACTCCTGTACGCATATATCGCGCCATCATGCAGATATTTTGAGCAAGTTTTTGGAGTTTTTGTTAATTAATCGAAAGTACTCTTGTGAGGAAATGAAATATCACTGATTGTTCACCAATTTCATTGTTGTTCTCAGAAATATTGTTGTTACAACCTGCACAAATCCTGGGACTATTTATGGGGCAAGGGTTTTTTTAGAGGCTCTTAAAGCAGCTTTATTTAAAAAGTTTGGAATTTTGGAAGTACATTCATCAATAATTTTTACCGAGAATACTGGTAAGTCGCAGATAAGTCGCAACTTCCAGTATGAAAGACCAGAGTTCTTTCGGAGAAAATTTTCGGTGAATAGACAATTGTCCCTCGTCACAAGATAAGATATGAGGGAATCTAGCAAAAAATTAAGCATTGGCGCAACATCAGCAGATGTATCAAGAAAGAGAGGAGGAAAGTTTGAGTCTTCCGATTCTCAAGGAAACATTTTGTAAGAGGTTTCATGTGTAACAATCCGATAAACATAATAACCATACTATCTTGAACTTCTTTAAACCAAACATTTAGAGGAGGCGAATCAGTAGAATGCAGTTGCCGCGCCGGGTACGATCTGGGCCCAGATGGATATAGTTGCGTTGGTGAGATAACACTTTTTTAATTTGCAACACCATAGCATTAGCGGTTGTGTTGTGACTGAAAATGATTTTGCAAAAAGATCGAAACGAATGCCGCTCATCGACTCCCCCATGTGCATGGGGACGAGAAGTGTGCGTGAATACGATTGGAGGATATCTTTGTCAGCCACTGAGACCCTTATCTAGACGTCCCTATATTCGCGAAAGACCTAGAGTAGCGAGGAAGTTTGAGGACAATAGAAGATCAGCAACAAAAAGGTCACAAACCTTCATTCCATTACCAACTGCTCCTGCGGTAGATGGACCTCTTCCGCAGAACTGTCCAGCCGGGTATGAGTCACGAAGAGGGCAATGCCTAGGTTAGTGACTGCGAAGCACGAGATGTGACCCTCGCTTGTGCCAAAATGCAGTGCTTATATCCTCACGAAAACCTTGGATGTAACATTAACTTCTTCGCCAAACATGGAAGTTCTCTCGTCATTGTGATGCCCTGGATTTTTTTCCCTCAATTATTTTCCCTTATTAACTCTTCACAGGTGTCTCATAGTTTGTTTTTACTAACATTGTGTGGAACTAACAAGCATGTTCAGACATTGATGAATGTCTTCTTCTGGCTGACGATTGCCTCGAATCCCAACGCTGTCTCAATTTGCCCGGTTCTTTTAAGTGTATCAGGACACTCTCGTGTGGAACCGGATACGCTATGGACTCAGAAACCGAGGAGTGCATTGGTTTGACCAATTTCTGCATGATTCTCTGCAGATAACAACTGCATGGTTCCGTAAACTGTTCCGTTTTTTTCGTGAAAATTGAATTTTAGATGTCGACGAATGCAATCTTGGTGCTCACGATTGTGGGCCTCTGTATCAGTGTAGGAACACACAGGGTAGTTACAGGTATGAATAATGTAGAGAACTAGAAGGCAGT